TCAGAAGGTGGGAAGGTAAAGAGAACCTACAGCACTGGTGATAACTACCAGGGTAGGAAGGAGGCAGGAGGAGGGTAGCAGCCATTGAGGGACATCCAGTCACTAAGCTGAGGAGGTGGCTCCAGGCTACAGTCCTCTCTCTGGTCCTCTACAATTCCCAACCCACAGTCTGTACCTCAGGCACGATGGATCAGAGATCACTGATGGGTCAGGACAAGCCCCTCCAGTTTTACTGTAGGGTTTCCACCTCTCCAAGCCTCTGGTTTCACATCTGTAAAATGGACATACTCAAGCCAGTCTCCCAGGGCCACAGGGAGGTGTATGTGAGATGACAGATGAAAGTGGGCTTTGAAAATCGTGCCATATTTCACAATTATGAATTACATATTTGTATTGTGATTAAAAACAAAAACAAAAAAAACCTCTTCCAGTACCAAACTGGGTAGAGCTTACTGGTAAATTGCAAAGGTGCTTCTCATCATGGGCTTTACATGGGGACAGACTGCGGTAGACAACACAATGTTGCTTGAGAGCTCACTTTTCATTGTCTCCTTCTACCTCCACACTCTGTCCTTCAACCAGCCCAGCTTCCTCCAGGCCACAGGCTCTCATGGATCCATGTGTCTGACCCCATGCCACAAAAAGACACACATGTTCTGTGTCTAGAGAGTATGGAACCATAGACTTGAAAACAGCTGGCGGGAGTCAGATTTGGCAATCCTGGGCTGTTTTGTCCTCTGAACATGACTTTGAGAGCAGGGAAGGGGCAGTTACTCATAGCACATGGAACAAAGGCCATGTCAGTTCCAGTTGCCAAGATGTCAGCACACCAGCTATGACCAAAAATGGTCTTTCCCCTATGTTAGATTTCAAGTAGAACTCACATGTTCAAACCCCGCCCAGGAGTTACAAAAGAATTGCACAATAAGGGATTTTCCCCTGTGTCACTTCGGGTCTCACCCTTCTGTTTTGCTTTTACAGAAAAGACAGATTAACATCTGGCCCAGATTACGAGATTCTTGCATCTACTCAGACTAAAGTAGCTGCTGCCAGCTGCTGCATACAGGGACTGTGCGCTCATTGGGGTAGGAGGCTCATGGATAATTTACAATTCAGAACAAGGCCTGGGGACTCTGTTTTGTAGAAGGAGGAACTGGAAGCTTAGGGGAGCCCCTGGGTGGCATTTGGGACAGCGTTTATAATGACTTAAATCAAACACAGTTGGGTTATGTGGTCAGAACAATACCAAGCAACAGAAGATATGGGTTTGAGTCTTGCTTCAGTTACGCATTAGTTATTTCCCAGCTCCTCCCCGCCCCTCTTTTTTTAGGGACAGGGTCTCACTCTATTGCTCAGCCTGGAGTGCAATGCCATGATCCTAGCTCACTGCAGCCTCGACCTCCTGAGCTCAAGTGAACCTCCCACCTCCCAGCTGGGACTACAAGAGCACCCCCACCAGGCCTGGCTAATTTTATTTTTTTATTTTTTGTAGATATGGAGTCTCACTATGTTGCCAGGTTGGTCTTGAACTCCTGGCCTCAAATGAACTTCGTACTTGGTCTCTCAAAGCTCTGGGATTACAGATGCGAGATATCGCACCCGGCCTAAGCACTAGTTTTTATCTCTGAACTCTGCACCTGGGTTTCTTATGAAAATGGAGACATGACTGTCAGGAACCACATATTTGCTGACCCTCTGACTCAAACACCTTCCTCTGAATGCTCTGTTCTGCTTATGCCTTAAATGCCCCTGCCCAGGTTTCTGACATCACACAAACTCACACCAACAACAGATTAAGCCAATCCAAGCCAACAATGATTGTATGGAAGGAAAACTGAGATAGAGAGTGATTAAGTTGCATGCCAAAGGTCAGTGCATGACAGAGCTGGTGAAAATGACCATCTAAGGTCTGACTCCAAAGCACAGTAAACCCTCCTTGGCTGATATTTCAGAAAAGGTGATGGGACAGTTTGCTACACATGCCTCTGCTCCACCTCCCACTCCACCTTCTCAGCCCCCCAAGCAGCCCCATCAGATTTATAATCATTATCTGTGATGAGTGTCCACTGTTTGCAGTTCTCAAGCCCTGACAGAAAAGGAAGCTGACAAGATGATATGAGGGGCGAGACGGGACATGGGGCGGACCCAAAGGACATTTCATTTCTTCCTCCAGTATGAGTAAGGCCGGAAGGCAGGCCACAAGTACCTCATCTCTGCACGATCTTACTTTTGAGGATGTTAAGAAAAATAATTCTCTACTTATTTCCCTTCCCTTCTTCCTTTACTTGTAACTTTCTTTTTTAATTGAGGCAATGCACACATTTTTTTTTCTAAAAGAGGTTTGGAATAGGATTGGAACATGGAAAAGAACTGAGGTAGAGAGATGAATGGCACGAAAAGGACTTTGAGAGTGTCCATGTCACCTAGTGAAAAGGATATTTTATCATACAGAGCAGCAGATAATTCTTTTTGATTTAAATAAGAAATGCTTCCTCCTTGACTGGCTATGATGAGGTAAGAGTAGAAGCAGGGACACTGGGTCATAGAGGAAAAGGCTAATTTCACCCCTTTTGTTCTGGGTGAGCCTCTTTCCTTTCTAGAACTGTTTTCAGAGTGTGGCCCACAGACTATGGGGTCTCTGAGACCCTCTTTCACAGACTCTGGGGTCTCTGAGACCCTTTCAGAAGAGTCCTCAAGGCCAAAACTACTTTTACAATAAGACTAATACATGTTTGCTTTTTATTTATTTAGTTGACATTTGCTCTAATGATGCAAAGCTGTTGCCTTGGCATGCGCCAGGGCAGTGGCACTAATCTGTACTGACAGTCACTGTGCTCTTCACCACTAAGTACTTGCAAAAAATAAAAAATATCAGTTTCACTCAAGAATGTCCTTGATGAAACAATAAAAACTAATTTTGTTAATACTGTAGAAAGGGTTTGGCAGTAGTGGTATGCTGCCAGGGGAGTGTGGGGCATGCAACATCAATAAGGGCCTGATCTCAAACCAGGAAAAGTGGGGACTAAAGGGAGACCCAAACTTTACTTGTACAATGACCACTTATCTATCTAATCCTGAATTGTACCCTACATCTTTAAAATAATATAAAAAAAATTAAAGAAGGAAAAATATAAAGATTAAAAAAATAATAATAACAAACCGAATTTTACTCACGGAACACACATCAATTTCTGTGTAATAAAATGGAAGGTACACTTGAAGAACTTCTGCTGCATACTGGTTGTCCTAAGGAAATGCAGCTGTTTGAGTTGCAAGTTAAACTAACCACTTTATTTATCAGCACTATGTTTTTTGCCTGAAAGAAAAACTGACCTATTATGCTTATTCAGATTCATGCACAAGCTGATCACTTCAATGAAAGCAATCTAGGAATATTTATTGCTGATAACATTTGAGCTCTAAGTAAAAATTTGAATTTTTGAAAATTTATGTCCACTGTGAGCTTGATGGCTTCACGGTGTTTTTCTAATGTGATTTGTGGTGATATTAGTCATTGTTTAATACTGTGTATTAAACTGTGTCAGCATTTTGAAGTAATATTTTCCAAAAGACCAACGTAGGCTGTTAGAAAATCACACATGGTTGAAAGACCCATTCAAAGTGCAAGATAGAATGGAATGTAATATAACTATAAGCAAGTTTATTTATATAGTTTCATATCCCAATTGTAATTAATAAATTACCTTTAAAATTACTTTTTGTTAAGTTTAGCCATAGTATAAACGAATATCAGCTATTATATACTCCTCCCTCTTTCATTTATATTGTCAGGCCATATTTTCTCCATATACTGAATCAAAATATATAACAGACTGAATGCAGAAACAGATAGAAAACTCCAGCTCTCTTAGACTAACCAAGACATTAAAGAGATTTGCAGGCATGTGGAACAATACTATGCTAACTTTTAAAAAAAGTATTACTTTTCATAAGAAAACATGCTTCTGCTAATATGTAATGTATTATTTTCAAATGAAGTACTTTATAAATTATTTTAGCTTCTAATATGGTAGTCATTGATAGATATAACTAATTCAATCCTGATAAATGTTTAAAACCAGCCCCTTTGGGGAGAAAAGGCCCTGGTGGGTAGTGCTTATGGAGTCCTCTGATGTAAATAGTCTCATCATGACCTATTACAAGTTGCCAATGTTACTGATGCTGAATTGGGAAGAGATGTGCAGTTAGCTCTCGCTAGCCTGTGGTCAGTTGGCTCTAGTACACAGATGGATATATCCACATAAGGTTTTGGTGTCTTTACTAATTTCAACTTGTGTAAAGGAGTTCTGAGAATGAAGGAGTTGCCTCACCAATGTCAGATTCCATTGAAGAGACACGGAGGTTTAGATTACAAAAGGATTTAAACCTCAAATCCTAATATACTTAATATATAAATATCCTAAAATATTCTCAGTTATCTCTGGCAAAGACAAGGGCACCCGAATCTTTCTGTTATAACCCTTTCTTTAAAAAGTTTTTTTTTACAGGTCGGGCTCGGTAGCTCAGTCTGAAATCCCAGCACTTTGGGAAGCTGAGACAAGTGGGTTGCCTGAGCCCACAGGTTTGAGACCAGCCCCAACAATTTGGCGAGGCCTCGTCTCTACAATAAAATAAAATAAAAAATTAGCTGGGCGTGGTAGCGTGTGCCTATAGGTCTGACTATTTGGAAGGCAGAGGTGGAGGGATTGTTGGATCCCAGCAGGTGGACACTGGGGTGGCCGTGTGCATGCCACAGCACTACAGCCTGGGTGACAGAGTGAGACTCCAACTCAAAAAAAATAAAATAAAATTTTTTTACTTTAAGAATTCCTTCAGGAAGGGCTCAGAGTCAAGTTCAGCCTGGCTGTGGTCTCTAGGTTAAAAGATTTGGCTCTTAATGACAGGAAAGTTCCAGATAGACAAGGGTTCTGTGTTAACATCCTCACTTCACTGCCTTCATGTTGGGGTGTGGAGGAAGAACGAGGAATATTACAACGAGGTTTATATAAACAAAATACTTTATTATTTGAGAAAGAATAGGCAGATTACAAAACGTTTATACTTAGTCTGTTCACTACCATGCCAAAGGTTTATAAGGGCTTCAGTTTCCATAGCTATTAGGTTGAACCACATGAAGTTGCCACCTTTGTAGATAAAAACTCATTTCACACGGGCAATTTCACATACAATGAGCCAATGGCTCTGACTTCTCTCGGCAGCAAGATGTTCCCAATCACGTCTGTTTATATCACAAACAGATGTCCAAGTGATAAACAGGTCCTGCTTGAGAAAAACATCCTGTGCTTAAGTATACTGGGAACTGCCTTCAGTGGGTTATTTAGGCTGAGTCGTCCCAGCTCTGACTTCGCTCTTCCCAGCTTGCCTGCCACCAACTCCAGGGGCTCATCTTGTGATTCTCTGCAGATGTCAATCACTGCTCCAAGGCCACACGGTTAGTAAGCAGCAAGGCCAGTCCGACTTCAAACCAACTGAATCGGATCATTTCTAAAGGCCAGGAATACGCAGGTCTCAAGTGCTCTTTGGAAATGAAGACAAAAGTCTGCATCTCGTTCAAAACATTTGCTCCAAATGAATGATCCGAATGCATACTCCTCCCCATCTTGTGTACCCTCTCTGCACTTCGGGATATTCTGTATCCAAGAAAATAAGAAGAAAACTATCTCGCGGTGGGAATTGAGCACAAAGGGGCGGCATGCTATCCAGATAGTCTAAGACATGACAGGTGAACAAAGGTGGGACAAACCATGCTTCATTCAAGAGGTTTAATAAAGACACCCGCCCCCCACCCCAATGCCCGCCTTGAAGCTCTGTACAATATGTTTAACTTTACACGGAGCTCAGATAAAAATAAAGCTTTCTTACAAATTAGGTTTTTTTTTCCAGTGAATTACTTTTGCAGTAAAAATAGCTGCTACATAAATCCCTCCTGATCTCTGAAAAGGAGTCGCATATTTCCAAAAATAGTATTCTTATTTTAATCATACAGAAGAACTTGGGGCACAGGAAGGAAATGGTTGGTTGGTCAGGGAGAGTTGAGTTGTTGGAGAAACACAGTTCAACTAAAAAATAAAATACATCTTGTGTATAAACTGACTTGAAGGCATGCACAGAAGTGGAAAACATATGCCATTTGTCAAGAAAAATACTGCTTTATAGCTTTTACTTTACAATTAAAAGAGAAAGCAGAAGAGCCAGATATACCCCAGATAATAACATTAAGTTTTTCATAAAAATTCCCAAATGTACAAAGTCCTTGCCAGATAACCAAGGGAAAACACACACACACTCAAACAGAAAACCAAATAAACAAAAAACCCCAAAACACAAAAAGCTGGGATTGTCCCCTTAGACCTCACTCCTGTAGGTATGTTAACTGTAAATAATATACATTTTACAACTTCTCTTAGTCAGCCCTTGGCTGATTAAATCTTTGTAAAATGCCACATGTGCTTTTGTAAAATGGAATAAAACATCAGATGCTTACATTCTTATTTCAAATAGTTATATAATTATTTTAAATTACAATATACAATTTCTGTTAAATAGGACTGTTAGGGGATTTTGACAATAATCATAAGATTATAATAATATATACAAACTAGCTTCTGAAATGGCATGGTTGCTTCCTTCCCACCCTCCTACCAAAGAGTCGCTTTTGCATTTGTTGCTTCTGGTCTCAAAAGGCAAAAGAAAACTGAGAAATAGTTTGTGTGTGTCCACGACATGCTCGCTCCTTTGAGAATCTCAAACAGCCAGAACCATCCTGTCCCATGGCCTGCTTGCGTGGCTTCTGGGCGCCTCCTTCTCGACCATGCTCACTTAACAGCATGGTAGGTAGTGTCTGCCCACCAATGGACTTTAGAACCGAGAAGCTGTTGCCATCTCTGACACGAGGGGGACAGCCTTGTCAAGAGGCACAGTTTGGGATGCAAGAAGGCCACTACTTCTGGGTGACTTTCCTGGACGTATTCAATCCCACCAGTCCTGGGTCAGGATGGGCTTCCCATTTGCAGTCCACAGGCATGGGGCTGGTGCAGGGCTGTCCCAGGGACCTCAGTCCTCTGTGTCAGGCTGGACACCCAGGATGGCATGCAGTTCCTCGGGAGTGAACCCCAGCAAGTTCTGAAGGTCACACACGAAGCGGTACACATAGCGCTTCCCCGACGTCTTATGGATGATGTTCTTGTCATAATAGTAGCGCAAGCCCCGGCTTAGCTTTTCGTAGTTCATCTTAGGCTTATTTTTCCTCTTTCCCCAGCGGCGGGCCACCTTTGGGGCACATGAATGGAAAAGAGTTAAATTCAATTTGTCAGTGAAGAAAAAGTGAGTGACTCTTCTCTCTGTGATGCTGTGTGCTCGTCCAGAGAACAGCAAGAGGGTCTACTCTGTCTTTTAATACATGTGCTGGGGACAGTGTACCCTTGGCTGATTCTCTGTACATGGGAGAGAGACACTGAGAGTGAGGTCCCTTCTCCCTGACCCCAGCTCTAGCTCAGCAAAACCTTCTGGGATCCAGACTCCAAGAGGGTCCTGAGACAAGGGAAACACTGGTGTCACCCACCCTCCTGGGTTCTCACTACAGCTATTCAAGTTAAAGCTGCCAAGTGGGGTTCTGAGCAGTGGGAAACACTCATTCCTCAATGCTTATTACCCAAGGGAATGGGTATGGGGTGACAGAGACTAAGGGCTTCTCTAATTCCAACCTGGAGTGGCTGGGATCACACCTGCCCCGACCTACTCCTCTAGGCAAAGATCCCAGTTCCAAATCCCCAGGGCCGGTGCCAGCTCTGCTGAGCTCAGCCGAGGAGAAGGGAGTCAAGCCAGAGAGTGACTAGGGGATCCTACACGTCTCATTCTCCTCAGTGGTTGAAAGCACGCTTCCTAAGGCATTTTCAGAACCTCAGTTTACAGTTTAGGCTTTTTGGGAGTCTGCCCAATGTCCATGTACATGGGATACCAGAGCCAGAAGATGCCATACACATTTATCAACTCAGCAATGACTCCACTTCAGTCTTCCCAACAGTCAAGAATGCCTCACATAGAAAGAATCTCATTAGTACTGGGGAACCCTTTCTTGTGCCCAGAGAACTGAATGACCAAACACAACAAGACACATCAGGGTTTAGAGCCCAGAGAATTCCCAAGGCAGTGGTCATACCTCATCAGGGTCGGCAAGCTTAAACTCCCATCCATCCCCAGTCCAGCTGATGAACGACTGACAAGATTTGTCTGACAGCAATTCCAGAAGAAACTGCCACAGCTGAATAGGTCCACTTCCTGGGAGGAGAGTGAGGGACACGGATTAGGCCTTGCCAGGGACTTAAAATACAGCAAGGCTTTCAGCATACTACATACACATACTGATTGAAGAATGTAGACCCAGGGCCCAGTGTGTTGCCATGTGTCCTCCTCCCTTACTCCCTCTCCTAGCAGTGACGGGCATCTGCCAGTCCCAGCCTTGTGCCTGTGTGGCAACTCTAAAATAAAGAAATAAGTGAATGAAAATAAAACGATGCACATAAGAGCAGAAATTGATAGGTGAGAAAATAAACTTATTCCAGAGGGATTAGCAAATTTTAAAGTTAAAAAAAAAAAAAGAATGTAGACCCAACTGTCTGAAAGGGGTTCCACTGTGAAGGAGGCATTCAGGGTGTTGGTGACAGTGCTAAAGGCTTTAATGGGATAAGGCTGGAGACTCCAAACAGAGTTCTTCCTACTCCTAGACAAGAAGGTCACACGGTCAAGACACTCTTGCTGGGTCTGTTCTTTCTGAAGGAAAGTTCAGGGCCACCAACGCTTGCATTAAAATTCCTTGCCTGTCTAACCATCCCTTATGTAAAAGCCTTCAAGGTGTATTTCTAGAAATACTCATTGGGGTAGGGGTTGGGGCAGCGGGAGCAGCATCTCACCACAGAACAAGACATATCATTCGTGGAATCCCAGCTGCTGCTCTCCTGCAGTGGCCATGTGTACATTGCTTAATACAAGCCCATTTTACTCAACAGTCATGTGGGGTAATACTCATTGCCTCATGCCTCTGTCTGGTGAAGCATGTTCTGCCAAGTGTCTCATGCACATTTTCTTGACTGATATGTAGAACTGCCACTTTGTGAAGCAAGTATCACCGTAGCCCTGCTTACATGATGACGGACAAGGTGAAGCTCAGAGGTCAGGTACTGTGTCCTGGATCACACACCCATCACCGGGAAGGAAGAAGAACTTAGATCTTCTGACCCTATGCCCAGCCTCTCAACCAATAGCTCTTGCCCAGAAATGCAATGGCTGTTATCAATAATGCTTTGCTACAGGCTGTGGTGGCTCATGCCTGCAATCTCAGTACTTTGGAAGGCCGAGACAGGAGGATTACTCGAGGCCAGGAGTTCAAGACCAGTCTGGGCAACACAGCAAGATACTCTCTCTAAAATAAAATTTTTTAAATTAGCCAGGCGTGGTGGTGCATGCCTGTAGTCTCTGCTCCTCAGGAGGCTGAGATGGGAGGATCGCTTGAGTCCAGGAGTTCAAGGCTACAGTAAGCTATGATTGTGCCACTGCACTCCAGCCTGGGTGATAGAGTAAGATCCTGTCTCTAAAATAATAAGCAAAGTTTCGCATAAAGCACAAAGAACAGAGAGCTGTTTACCTGTGAGCCCATTTCCCCATCTATAAGATGAATTCATACCACCCCTACGCTAGGCTATCTCAAGGGTCACCGATCATTTGCCTAGTTATCCACACAGAGCTGGCAGTCAACAAATGATAACTAACATTACCATTAAAATGGTTGTTTATTTTCTTATAGAAGCCCTGAACTCCCATGTACGAAAACTACAACAGTGTTCACACACTCTTTATATGTATTTTAATGCATTTATATGACTGTTTTTTTTTTCTAGACAAAAAAAAAAATGCCTAGGTATCTTTCTTTTAACCTATTGAAACTTTTTAAGAAGGTATTTTTTAAATCCATTGTGGCTTCATATGGTCAAAATATGAATAACAAAAAAGCACATTTAAGGACACACAAAGCAATGAAAATAAAAGTCTTGGTATTTTCGCTAAAGTACTGGAAATACCTGGTTCTAAAATCAGAATTAATATTTGTCCTCTGCCTAGAATAGCTCTCAACCAAACTTTAAAAATAAGAGTAGATGGACTTTAGAAGCAAGAAAAGGTAAACAGTGCCTGCATTATTTGAGGCCAGCTCTGCAGCCCCTCCCTAAGCCAGTTTACATTCCTTGAGATTCCTGAAGTGGGTGAGTCAGGGTTGAAGATTCCCCAGTCCATGTCCCCACTCCTCCTCCTCTTTGGAATGTCCCAGGTAGAGGGAGTGGCCTGTCAATTTTCATCCACTCCACTGAGCTCTGTGTGCACAAACATTCCTACAAGGTTGGCCTATTTAGAATTCAAGGATACGGCAAAACACACAAAAAAGGTGGAGTGTAGCCCTACCATCCCTAACCTAGAAACACCCTCGGTAAACATGGTGCTGCGGACAGACAGGAACAGAGGGTGGGCCCTGGGCGGCCAGGCGGCCAGGCTCCCAGAGTCGCACACTCACCTGTGAAGCCAGCCAGCACAGCTGCAGGTATAACTGGTTTGCCTTGCTCCACTGGGTCACTCCTTTCTTGGATGTAATCCTTGAAAGACATGGTCGGCTTACTGAGGCAGAGAGATTGGCTGCAGTCGTCTTCGAAACTCTCGAAGGAAGGCACCCGCTGCACATCCAGCAAGGATGACTGGCTATTCCAGGACTGGAGCAGGGAGTCTGAACTTTCGAAACTGTCCCCGCCGTTCTCTGGGGAGTCATGGTCTTTGGGCTTCCCTGACAAAGACAACCAAGCACATACTTTGACGGAAATGGTCCAGTGCCATGGGGGAATAACTACAAACTGGTCTTGGGCTCAACCACAGCATCACAGCCAACCTCTCACAATGCAACCCCACACTCTGCTGGTGTAGTATCACTCAGACTTTTTCATATGCTCATATTCAGGTGCCTATTCCTTAGGATAACTATACAGTAAGTCCCCTACATATGAACAAGTTCCATTCCAAGAGTGTGTTTGTAAGTCCATTTGTTTGTAAGTCCTATAAAGTTAGCCTAGGTACCCAACTAACACACTCAACCGGTTATACAGTACTAGCTATATCACTGGGGCTTTTATGCTTGCTTCTGGACATCCTGGACTTAAAATAAAGATACTACACTACTGTATTCTATATAGCACTGTACAGTAAAACACACAAAAGCACAACCACTTGTAGAAGATGCATGCACATGACAATGTAAGCCAGACAGATGAACTAGCTTACGTGATTGGACATGCAAATGCACGTTTGCATCTTTGAAAGTTTGCAACTTGAAAGTCTGCATGTAGGGGACTTACTGTACTATACAAATCACATCTTCCATCACAGGAGAATGGACAAAGTGTCCGTTCTCATATTGGAAGAACAAACAAGCTGTTACATCCAACAACATGGATGAATATCAGACACAATGATAAGGAAAAGACAAACCCAAAAGAAAATATCCTGCATGATTCCATCTACATGAAGTTCAAGAACAGCAAAACTTAATCCATGATGATAAAAAGTTGGTATTGTTTCCTTTCGGGGTTGGTATGCTATTGATGGGAAAGCAACTCCTGGACTGCTGAAAACTTCTCTAACTCCATTTGGATGGTTGTGACATGAGTGTATTTACATGCACAAATTCTACCAGTTGTACAACTTGAGGTTTGTGCAAATTCAACCAGTTGTACAACCTGAGGTCTGTGCACTATATGTATGTCTCCATAAAAAAGAAACTGGTCACATTCTAGCACCATCTCCACAAAATAGCACATTGGGTAAAGGTGTCCTAGTGACCTTCCAATCAGCATACTCCTGACGTGTTTCAGGTGCTGGCCCAGGTGCTGCAGGTATTGCATACACAAGGCCTGCAGCACCTGAAACACGTCAGGAGTACACTGATTGGAAGGTCACTTAGAACGTGGTCAGTGCTTTGACCCCTTTCTCCAAGGGCTGAATACAGGACATATTTATTATCAAGTTCATATCACTATTTGACTGTGGCTTTCAGAATCAAACAAACATCCTAGCTAAAAGATGCTTCAAATCTTACCAGAGTTGTTGGTGAGCAAATTCAAGTTGCTGCCTGGGAAGTCCTGGCTGATGGCACAGTAGTTGATGCTGACAGTGCTGAGACGAGACTTGGGGAACATCTGAAACTCTTGCTCAGAGCTGAGCACGCTGGACGCTGAAGGTGGACATATGCCTTCCAGGAGGCTGCCCTTGGGGTAATTCTGTGACTGCATTCCATAAGGTGCCTGCTCCACACTAAAACCTAGAACACAGCAGTTGGACGGCAGAGCTCTTAAGGTCAGCAGTAACATGATAACAAAACCCTCAGCGCAAATCCCAGGTGACCACATTGCATGCTTCAGCTTACTGTAGAAGAACCTTAGTGGAACTGTGGGCTTCGATGGACAGTTGTCACCAAGCCCTCTTCACAAACCATTCATCTTCTCAACCAAAATAACGGCGGCCTCTGGACCCAGGGATCACTGTTAATATTTCTTTTCTTTTCTTTCTTTGTTTTAGAAGAGAGGGTCTTACTCTATTGCCCAAGCTGGAGTGCAGAGGTTTGATCATGGCTAACTGTAACCTTGAACTCCTGCACTCAAGCAATCTTCCCATCTCAGCCTCTTGAATAGCTGGGACTACGGGCACATGCCACCATGCCTGACTAATTTTTTGTTTAAATTTTATTGTAGAGACTGGGGTCTCATTTTGTTGTCCAGGTTGGCCTCAAACTTCTGGACTCAAGTGATCCTCTCTGTCTTGGCCTTCCAAAGTGTTGTGATTACAGGTGTAAAGTTAATATTTCTATGGCTCTAGTGCTTTGCTGTGACCCTCAGAACGACAGGGCTCACTGGCTCTTTTAGCTTCTGAGGAAAGTAAAGTTCAACAAGACTAAGTGGTCTGTCATAGTGTGTGATTTGTAAGGAGCAGAACCGGGGCATGAAACCCTGTGTTCTAAGGCCCAGTCCACCTGCTTTCTTCTCTTCTGTCACGCTGCTCCTCCCTCTGTTTCTCAGGGACTAACTCATTTTCTAGGGAGGGAAGGAAGCTCTCTTACTTTGACTCAGTCTCAGGCAAGCAGAGGGTGATCCACTGTGCCACGTTCAGAAAAACCCTGAGTAGCAAGTCCCAAGGTGGGGCAGAGGGGTGGGCTTCACCTGGTCTGAGTGGAGAAAGCAGAGAGCTGGATCAACACCATCCAAGTTGCTGGCTGGGGCAGACCACCCTGCAGCCTGCCCTCCCTAAACCTAGTGCCTAGAAGCAAGGACTCAGAATCCATGACAGCTCCTCAGACTCCCAATTCAAAGCAGACTGACAGTGTCTTCCCCCACACTTGCTGTGGCTGCCCCTTCGTATCAGTTACACGAGATCAATACCTGGCACCTACGGTCATCTACTCATTTCGCTCTGCCCCTTGATCTATGAAGCTCTCTGGAGCCATTCACACAATTTTAAATGATCTAGTGGCCATATTGAAAAAGAAACAGGTAAAGGTAATGACCTTATTTTACTTGATCTAATAGATCAATCATCATTTCAATGTGTAAACAGTATTTTAAAAATTATCAAGGAGATATTTTTCATTCTTTGTCTTTTACTAAGAACAGGCCTATCGTACTAAAACTTCCAAATTCACATTATTCTATTCTTACTACATGTCTCGGTGTGACCAGCCACATCTCAAGGGCTTGGTAGCTCAATAACCACATGTAGCCACCATGAAAGATGGCATGGGGAGCCTCGCGGTGGAGCAGAGGGAAAAACTTCACCTGGTCCGAATGGTGGTGTTTGGGCCAGAGAGGAAACAGAGGGCTGGACCAAGGTCACCCAAACTTGAACTCCTTAAGTATCCAAGCCGGATGGAAGACTTAAGACCAAGAAAAAGATGAACTGACCTAATGTGTTACTGTTAATCCAATGAGGAACTGAGTTGAGATGTGAATTTTCTTCATATTGATCTTCTGTTTTTTCTTGGTTTTCTGAAAATCAGATACAGGAGACATGAAGTGGCAGATCTAGGTAAAAGCTACCCAAGAAATAAAACGTACTTTCTGAATTACTGTAACACGGTTATTTTAGAATGACTAAATGCATTTAGTGCTTCACATCTCATCTTGTGGTGTTCCATGTTGCTGCGCATCTTTTTCAAAAGACTAGAGACAACAGCACATTTTTCTTATAGCTAGAATAAATTTTCCAAAATGAATGACGTCATTGGCCAAGTTAAATTTTCTATTGCAAAATGTAAAAGATCCTGATTGTGTATTTAATTCATTCATGTATTCAAGAAGCAGTTAAGTATTTATGAAGTATCATCTGTGCCAAAGGCTGGGAACAATGAGGATTGTGAAATGCATACAGTTTCTGCCCCTGTGAGGCTTATAGAACTGCTGCTTCCAGGGTGTGGTGAGGTCTCCAGGGTTGTGAGAGTTTGAAACAGGGGACACGTGTGCCCAAGAACTTGAAAGAGAAAAGATTTGCGCTCTCTCTGTGTATGCGTGTTTACTATGAATACACTATGAACAACACATACATCCATAAATCCAAAACACAAACTCACATGCCCAAGTATGGTAAAACATTTTATCTTCCAATAAACTTCCAAAAAGTTTCACCAGAAACGACTTAGATAAGACTTGTCCAAACTCAGAGAAGATTTGAGTGTCTGTAAAAAAGCAGCTTTCCTGAACCTCAGAGGCCATAACTCAAAAGAGCTGGTGGTTGAATCCTAGGTCTTTTTGTGATTTGGAGTTTCTAGTAGATGCTAGAACTCAGTACATCTAATACCAACTAGGTGAGAAATATTTTCCTGAACTCAACAAACATGTTGATTTTTAAAATATTTTTTAACTTAAATGATTCTTACTAGAATTTTTTTTAAACTCAATGTATTTTAAACATTGGTCTCACTGTTCTTTTAAGTTGTGAATCAAGACTTTCTTTATATTTGGTGAGATTTCAAATTATCCATAGCCAGTTTCTGTATAATATGTCCCTGTGTAAATATATATCAATTACTTGTTTAAAAACATAAAACTTGCCAGGCTCAGTGGCTCAGCCTGTTATCCTGCGCCTTTGGGAGGCTGAGGTGAGTGGATTGCCTGAGCCCGTGGGTTCGAGACCCGCCTGGGCAGCGAGACCTCATCTCTACAATAAATCAAAAAAATCAGTCGGGCGTGGTAGCGCATGCCTGTAATTGGAAGGCTGAGGTGGAAGGATCGCCAGAGCCCAGCAGGTTGAGGCTGTGGTGGACAGGAGCGGCCACTGCACTCCAGTGTGGGTGACAGAGTGAGACTCCAACTCAAAAAAATAAAATAAAAGTAAAAGCATAAAACTCCCCCAACAATTATCTTTATTTGATTCAATTTGGACTTGAGAAAATTTACTGTAAAAGTCACAGAGTTTATCTGAGTAAAGACTCTCTTTCATGAAGGCTGACTTATTTCTTTTGGCTTTGAAAGGTGAGCTCACAAGACACAGCCTACATATCTGAGACAACACGGACTTCCATGACAAATTCAGACTGGCAAGAGTGAACAATTTAGTGACTAAAGCTACTGCCTTGTGGCTCTACTTGCTACACATATACACATCACACACTATACAGCACTCACACATACACACGCCCACACACTTACTTAAGTGGAACAAAAATCTATAATCTATAAATATGCCACATATTTGACTCATTTGAGTGGCGTTTTGAGGCAATGTACTCCATATCATTTGAAATGCCAGCCCTAAGGTTGAAGAACACCCATGTGACACCCTCCCTCCACCCTCCAATCACTCTTCCCAGCTACAGCTCACCCTGGACAAGGGGAGCAAGTCCTTTAGCTGGTACCTTTGATCATCTGCTCCAGATGTTCCCAGAGAATGTCGCCCACAAAGTCAGGTGCCAGCTCCAGAAAGCGCTCCTTGCCAAGGTTACACAACACCTGGCCATTCATGCCAAACCTTTGGAGATTGACATTTACCAGACTGAACTCATTGGTAGCCCAGAGAAGCCACTGGCACACTTGCTGCTCATTCCATAGCCAGGGATCTAACAGGGGGCAAGAAACAAGGTGAAAACACTGGAAAGGCAATAAGACTACAGTCACCTCTAGTTTATTCACCAAGTTCATACATACACCAGAACCGACAAAATGACACCACTACAACACGACCCGGGCAAATGCTAAGATACTAGCAATGATTCTATCTAACAAATATAGATACAGTGAGTGCTGGACTTAAGCCTGCAGCTAATTGGGCTGAAATAAAAACTGGTTCAAGTTAACTACATCAATGCTACTCTCTGCAAAATACCTCAAGTGAAAACTTAAAAAATATGTCAAGATCTAACAGCTACAGTCAAATCTGGTCTCCTTGTCCAAGAACACAGTCTCAGGAAAGCAGCACTTACTCTTTGGAATGCCGAGGCGCCGCTGCTCCTTTTTGAAGCCACTGAAGGTAGCTTTTAGGGCTTGACTCATCACAGCCTTGCTGCATGGAGTTAACAAAGGCAATTCACAGTTGGTTGAATCTGGAAATAAACCCCATGGGGACATTAGAGCTTCAAGTTAGTAACATCAGGTAGAGATTCAAGAGGGAAATCTTTGTGTTGGGGAAAGGACAGTTTTGATCCTAAACCTTGACGGGATTCCTTAAAAAGCATAAATATTAACAAAAAAAAACCCACATTTTTTGTCTGAAATTGAAAAAATATTATACATCTCAGAACTACACTTATGAAAAAAATCTACAATAAAACTCAAATTTTTATTCTATTTTGCAAAGCTTCATCAAGCAGTTATTCATAGGTAAAATTTTTATTTAGGTCTATTTAAAAATTTTTGATAATAAAAAAATGCATGGGTTTTGGTCAAAAGAAGTAAGGGATTATAAATGTGTCATATGGAAGTTACTTCCATTAAATTAAGCAGCAGGCAGAGACTTGGGCATGATAGGAACACATAGCCCTTAGCACTGTAACTTAAGCACACCTTCAATTTTTATTGAAAAACAATGTTCTCTGGATGCTCTCAGCAATTCCAAGAATGATAAATGACTGCCACACTATGTTATGCTTACACAAGCTTATGTGTTTTAATTAATTTTCTGGGCTGTATTTTCTAGCACCTACTTCACAGGACAAAGTAATCTCTGGAATGTTTCCAACTAATAACTCTATCCAGTAATTGCAGAGACATTATCTGACGTGCTATTCTTTTAAAAAGAATAAACAATAACATTAAGAACTACAGAAACAAATACAGATGCACAAAGATTACAAGGAATAATGTGTTACCCCAAAACTGGGAGTGGGGGAGACAACTAATGTGTGAACCCAGAATTAAAAGTTGGGGGTGAATTTTCCACTGTTTTTGGTCTGTACTGCAGAACTGGGCAGGGAGGTAAAGATCTGCTTGCTAATGTTTCATGAAAACATCCACAGAAGTGATCTCGGGGGTTTCCTTGCAGTTAACTAATAACAACTCACTTGGATGCGTCTGGCACTGGAGCTATCAGAATTGCCAAGTTCACACACAGGGAAAACTGCCTGTACCCAGGTCCAGAGTGTCTATCTGACTTTTCATACCAAAGATTCAAGATATCGACACACATGGCTTAGGAACTGTCATCTCTTTATTAACTGAACTACTTAGGGAAATCAAGCACAATTTGTCGAATCTCAGGAACAAATTACCATGAGAAATTGAATCCAAGCCTGTTGGTACCTCTTGCAGTGTTTGCTCTTCATTTAGTGAGGGGAAAACAGCAAAAAGGGACCCATCGAAGGTGTCAAAGGCTGGTTGACGCTGCAAAAACAGATGGGAAAGAAAACTGAAATGTAATACTAAAACTTGTTTACTTGTCTATCTTAAAAACGATCCATGGGCAATCTTACCATATACCCTGATTAAACTGGCAATTATGAAGCACCACAGAAAATCAAACAGTCAGTACTCAAAATAGACTTCTAAAAGGGTCAAAGGGCCTGAAGTGGTTCTATTTTACTCTGGATTATTTAAGTAACCTCACAGAGTCAGAATGACTGGGAATTTATTTTACTGGTCTATTCCATTAAACTAATAAATTAAATAAACGAATCTAAAAAGAACTGAATCTTACAACAATGCTGGGAGGAAGCTCAGAGACCCTTTTCTGTTACACTGAGAAGAAGTCAATCAGACCGTGTGTAGAAGAAAAGTGACCCTTGACAAGGCTGCTTGAGAGCAATGTAGTTAAAACAAAAGGCAAATGACTGGGTAAAAATGAAAAATCAAATGATGAAATAAACTACTTTATCTTTGGAAAGCCTTTATTTTGAAATGTTTACCACAAAACAATTTAGCTGAAATTATAGAGATGTTTTTCCTCATAATTTCAATGATCAAGAAAATAACTAATACGGTAAAAAATTTCTTACAATTTCATTTTATAAAAAGCAAAGTGCATTTTTTAAAAAACCCAAATTGTCTACTAAGGGGAAACATTTCCAAAGAAAATAGTTTTAAGTTAAATTAAACTATCTACAGAAGAGGAGAGGTATACATGGAAAGATAAAACCTTACACTATGTTGTCAATTTCTAATAATCTCACATAACATTTATGAGAGAAATAGCCTTTGGTGTAAGATTCATTTATAAGTAACAGATAATGTCTTGACTCATCATTGTCTAAGTTGAAGAAAATGTGAAGAATGTCCTATTATTCCAACATAAGCTGGAAATCCCATGTTATGTGTAATTTAATGACCTATCTGTTGAGTCATCAATAAAAAAAATCTGTAACACATTTACAAATAAAATCAGTTTGCATGCTTTCTTTTTAGAAATGCAGAACAATAAATGACACATTACACATGATGGCAGGCAGAGGTTGGCGCCTAGCCCCCCCCAAATCCAAGTCAATGATGACCAACTGCCTGAGATCTGGGAGGAAACCGATCAGTCAGGAAAGTGCAAACTACTCATCTGGATTTGTAAACTCCTTTATAGCAGCACTAATTTTGGTGAAACATCCAACAAACTTTTTAAGCTCCCACCACATTGCCCAAGCAATGAAGAAATGCCTTTCCTGACTATAAATTCTTTTTTTAAAACCAGGAAGTCAAAGGACAATGCAAGTCTGCACTTTGTATTCCAACATATCCATTTCAGCAATGACTGTTTCTTCCATATCCAGAAATCACATGGGCATCACCAAATTAATTTAATTCATAGAAGGATTTTTCTTGGGGGGTATGGGTTCAACTTAATATCATAATTTCTTGTACTGTTTCTGCCTCGCTTAAAATGTCTAGCCAAAATCAAACCAGAACATTCACTAGCCTGAAGTTTGATGACCTTTTTAATACTCCAGTAAGGCCCATGCCAGGGTCTGGTTCTTTGAGCTACATCAGACAAACAACCTTAATAATGATTTGCACAGGAAAATATAACATGCCGGAGACAGATCATAATTATGCAAGAAACGAAACCTGGAGGAGGCCAATCTTAAAATCGCTGCTTCTGAAACATGTCTACTACATAATGCTAACAACAATCAAATCTTGTTGTCTCACTTGGAGAAGGCAAAGGGGAAATTACCTTCCCAGTTTGTGCTACTCAAGAATGTTCCAGAAAGGATTTATGATAGAAGCTACATAAAATGTGCTTGTGCAGCAGAGAAGGCTCTTTCATCTCTAATCTGTTTTTTGGTTTACATAAACAGACCCGCTTGTTTTCCACTCCAGTAAGAACAGGCCACCTACAACCCCATAAGATTCTGATGAAGCAGCAGCAGCTGGGGCTGTTGCCTCTGCTAGGCTCTCTCATTCTAGCTTTTAAACAGCCTTCCCACCATCCAACGAGACTCCTGGGTAGATAGAAAAGGCAGTAGAGATGGCCTCTCCAGCTGGTTTATTAGGAACCATAGGATTTTCCATCCAGAAAGAGCTTCAGAAATAAATGACAAAGGCTTCACTATCTACATTTCATTTCTTGGAGGACAAGCAGCACACTCATTAAGATACCCATTCTACAGACTAGATAACTGAAGCCCATAGCAAGTAAGCAACAGTCCAGAATCACACAGCCAGGAAATGTAAAAGTGAGCTGAACAAGCCCACTGTTTTTTCTCCTAGAGACAGAGTTTTCCAATGTTTTAAATAATGTTTAATTAAGACTCATTCACTCACCTTGAGTGTCCCTCTGTAACTGTTAGCCACAGGGGCTACCTGGTCCATATTCTTGATTCCAAAATCATTCATCTTAAAAAGAAAGAAAGAAAGAGTCAAAGGAGCAATAGATTAAATATATTTTAAAGAAGTCGTCACTGATGGCAGCAAGACTTGATTCTGGCTGGGTTCAATAGCCAACAGGTAACTCAAAACTCAATGCCGGGGAATTCTCATTTAAAAGGCTTTCCTTTCAGAGGTCTCAAGAGGAAAGCATTTCTCAGTACAACAACAGGGTATGCTATTGAGGTAATTAAATAATAATGCTGATTCTCTGCTGAATTGTACTTAGATATATACAGATAAAGTCACTTTATCTGTGACTTTGGCAGTATGTCAGAGCCTCCTTGCTGGATTAACAGAGCAAGGGGGACTGACTCAGGCTTTTTATTGCCATTAGCTTAGGTAAGGGCTCCAGTGGGTGGGGCTGGGCAGTGGAGCACCTACTGTCTGCTGGGGCAGTCAGCTCAACCTGGAAGCCTTAGGGCAGCTGCAAGGGGTCCTCTGCCCTGGCATTTCCCATTTGATCCAGATCCAGGAAAGCCTGCTGAAAGGAGTCCAGGAAGCGCCCCCCACCCCCATCTTCCATTCCCCTTTCCAAGTTGTGAGGAAGCACATGTTCAGGGAGGGGATAAAAGGGGGAACTTAAGATCAAACCCTCTTACATGGCCCTAGATCCTCCTGCTTTGAGTACAGAGCTCAAAATATTTTTGCTTTGTGTGTTGCTTAGCTGTGCATTTCTTCAAGGGGAAGTAATTCCAAGTACGGATCTGCTTTGCTTCCCCTGATTGAGTCTTACACTAGATCTGTGCTAACCAATACGGTAGTCACCAGCCACATGCAGCTACTGAGCCTAACCAACATGGTAGCCACCAGCAACATGCGGCTACTGAGTGCTTGAACAGCGGCTATGAGAAGCCACAAACACACAGTGGCTTTCAAACAATTATTATAAACAATATTTATATCTGTTGCATGTTTATATAACTGTATGAATATATTAGGTTAATTTGAAATACACTGAAATCGATTTCACCTGTTTTACTCTTTTAACATGGCTACGAGAAAATCTAAAAACACATGTGGCTTGCAATTGGACAATGCTATAATAGATATTTTGGGGCCCTAAAATGTAATTGTTAGGTCAGGTAAGTTATATATTAATAAGTAAGGAAGCTACTTAGATAAGAGTGCTGGAGTATTAAATATTAAAAACAGAATAACTAAAATTTTTCAAATAACCTGCGTTAGCACTGATGAGTAAACTTCACCTTGAGAGGCATTCCTTGCCCTCCCTGCAACATGGCCATGGAACTAAAGACCTACACTTAAGCTCTCTGAGGTACCCCTAAATTGCCCAGTCCATTGGATGCTCCCACCTGTCACACAAGAACGCCAAATAATTAAAACACTGCTCAACTGGGGGGAAAAAAATGTCCTAGAGGCAGCAGATTGCATATTCTCACAGAACTATTTAATTTGCATTTGGCTTTCTTGCTTTCCTTTTATGATCAACATCATGGCTAAACCAGACCTCTCAATACAGTCCCCCCCCACCTGCATACACCACAAACCTTGGCTGAAAGGCAAGAGGCATGAGAAAGGGCTACTAAAACGCTCAGAGTGCCAGTGATGACTGTGGTAGCCCACAGAGGCTAGGGTGCACTGACAATTAATAATACCATGGGAGGATGCAGGAGGGGCTGTCCTGGATGGAAAGTGGCCATGTTTGCTCAGAATCTCCTCTTGCAGGCTTATGTCATCCACACTCACTCAAGAATCAATATTCACTCCTACTGATGGCTGCCACTGTTAAAATGCCTAGTCACTAAGAGCTAAGCCCCGTGGGGCGGGGGGTGGGGGTGGGAGGTGAATCTGCTCCTGCCTCTTAGAATCTTTCTGCATCCCTGAGAAGTAGATGTTACTGCCATTTAACAGGGAGGCAGTGGAGGCCCAGCCATATGGAGCAACCTGCCCAGGATCACATAGCTGCTACAGGGGCTGCTATGGTACAGAATAGAAATCAAATCCCTGTTGAGTATGATCCTAAATTCTGATTTCCTCCACTGTGCCCAGAGGACGTGAACAAGGAGGGACAGACCTTTCCCCACCATATACTAATATTTTAGATTGGGCCCTTCTTGCTACTCTTTACCACATGAAATGCTCCTTAGTTTAAAGCTTCATGTCATCTGTCTGGATGAATTAAGTTCTGGTACCTGTTGATTAAATAAACATGCCTCACACAGAAGGTGAGAATCCAACACATCTTGGGTGCTGTCAATTATCCATCCAGAGCCCAATGGGTCAGCTTTTCTTCTTCCTCTGGCTAGCACACTGCTTGCTGACTTTATTCTGTTTTTCAGCTTCTCTGAGATGGACAGCGAATGGATGTGGAAGGCAAGGGAAAAAGCTCTGCCAGCTTTTGTGTACAAATACCAGGAGAAAAGGCAGCTTACCACTCCCACATAAAGAGCACTAATTACTAGCTACGGAATAGAATTCTTTTGTTGTCCAGCTTTTAATGAGTTTTGTGAAAACCACGTAGATTTAAAGTGCTCTACTAAATGGTTTCAGGCAGACACACAACTCATCAAATTTAAGTTCACTTATTTTACTCAACACAACTTGTTAGGTGGTAGACAAGCCAAGATTTTCCACATAAATCAATTTCAAGTTTAGATCCTTTTGGTGTTGCCAACTGATCACTGCTTTTAAACAAAAACAACAGAAAGGAAAAATGGCAGAAATCTAAGAGCTGAGAATGGTGGTTAAATTTTAATACAAGGAGAATTTGTCTGACAACAGTATCCTTGTTGGAACAAATGATCACTTATGTAAGATTAGAGCACAGGTTTACAGTTAGGCAAATTTGAAAAAACAAACAACAAACAAACAAACTCCAAAACCTGTAACACAGTTTTGAATATTTGTTTGCTCTTTTGATTTGAAAGCCATCAGTTTAGAGAGAGAGAGTTGAATGACTAATCTCAGAAATGAGTATTTGACTATTTCCCTGTAGGACACAGGGTGCTAACATTTACTGTGCTGTGATATTACTCAGAATTTTAATAAAGCTTAAAGTGGAGATTTATCTCTCTGATTGCTGGTGGTGTGGGCCAGCAGATAACACACAGGCGCTTTCCTCTGTATGGTACAAACATAATCTCTTGCTGGTGAATTAAAATAAATTACTCTTATCTCCAAAGGACTGCTCATTTCTTTACTTTCTATATAAGTAGCACATCAACTACTATTTTAGGCTCCCCTGAAATTGAGTACAGGCTAACATAAAAGTTCTCCCGCGCCTAAAAAAGAATAAAATAAAATAAAAACCACACAACCCAAACACACAAGCAAACGCTCTGTCACCCCTTCATTCAAATGCTTCATGAACAAGGAATTAAAGGCAGCCCAGCGCAGCCAGACCCCCATTTCCGACAGGTTCCCTACGCTCTCCTCGCCGGACCCAAGGGCCCCCGGCCGGGCCGGACGTGGCCGAGCAGGTGACCAGGGGACCTAGAGCTCGGCAGGACTTCACAGAGCCGCAGCCTCCAGGTATCTCAGGCGCCGGGAGCCCTTGATCCTGGGCCCGGCGCGGCTCCCTCCAGCAATTCACTCCCAAAGCCGGGGCGCCACTCTAGCAAGCCACTTCCAAAGCCGGGGCGCCCTCTCCTGTGCCCCCCTCCCCCGCCCTTCACCTACTGGGCAGGAACCCGGCACCAGGCCTGTGTTACCTCTTTAAAAACAAAAGCCACAGGAACCAGCCCGCGCGCCCTGCCGCGCCAGCCGCTCGGCCACCCCGGGGACAGCGGCCCCAGCGCGCGGGGGCCCCGGCCCGCCCCGCCACCCCCGAAGGCCACTCGGTAACCGGAACACGAGCCAGCGAGGCACCGGGACGCGCGCCCCTCGAGTGCTCGAAGCAGCTGCCACTCCCCGCCCCCCCGGGCCCCCGGCTGCACCTCGGCATCTGGACATCAGTGCCCTCGCCCGGGTTCTGGGCGCCCCTTTCGGAGAGAGGAGCCGGCGCGCCGGGCGCTCTCCGAAGCCCCCGCTCTTACCGCGCCGCTACGGGCAGGGCCGGCGCGCGGTCGGGGCGGCGGCTGCTCGGGGCCCGCGGACGATCTGGGAGGC